TTAACAAGCTTACTCTGACTTCAGAGCAGTCCTTGTTTGAAACTACTACAGCCTTGTTTGAAACTACAGTTTCTCTGCCGTGCAGAAATATTCATGAGAAAGCCAGGTGGCTGTGCACTGGAAATATGCAAATAGGAGCCATTTGCTAGTGGAAATTTAGGTAGAGGCCCATGATGTCAAATAACCAATCACTAATTATAGCAGAGGAAGAGCTTATTCAGTCTTTTTAACTGACTCCACTTAGAAAACTATTCCTGATTAAAAACTCCCTCAAACAACAAAAGCCTACTGCCAGAACTATCAATGACTTGCTTAGAAATGTTAAACATAAATTTGAATGCACTTATTTCTGAATGAAGTAGTTCACTTTTTCTCCCACAAAATGCTGTTCATCATTCACGTTCAGATATACACTTCTTTGTTTCTTATTCCAGGATGTGGGTAGGTGAATGAAAGCTGGTATTATCTTGTTCAGGAATACTGTGAATAGTTAAACTCTTCTGGTGTTTGACTGTGGTCAAATCCTGTTACAGGCCAAAAGGTGTTGTTAGGTTCCTGTGTACACTACATGTTTTATGCAGTTCTTTTTAATTCTGATTTTTCTATAGAAGACAAAGCTAAACTGACCTCTCTACCTTCAATTTTATGCAAGCCCTATGTAGCATCCTTGAAACAATATGGGTATGTAAGAAAAGAATCCTAAATAGAGTCCTTTCATGCTGGTTTTGTATCCACCAAGGTGGCCTAATATCTTAAAAGCCATGGGATGTTTTGTAGCTTTACTGGTGAGTCATGACTTGGGGCTTCTTTTACAGTGCAGCTATCATAAGTCTTTGAGTAATCACAGACTTTAAAAGTATGCTACATCAACAAGATAAGAGAAACAGCCCACAGCACTAACAGCATTATCTTTTACCAAAATTGATTAGCCCATACTATGTGTCTCAAATACTTTGTATAAACTTACTCAGCAAGCTGGAAATAAGTGTGTTCCTGAAGAACAAGCTGAAAAAAAAACCCAAACTTGCTCTATAGCAAGGGAAAGGAAAGTAAATATCACTAAATGGAATGTCTCTTAAATAAATTTCTTTTTACCTAACTTGCATAAACTAAGCATCATTTCTTCTCTACTTGTATTTCCTAGTGCTGCTTCTATTATGATTCTGTCCTTTCCAATCAGGCAGTTTAGAAGTCTGGGATGAAAACAGCAAAATGCAACTGCTTCTTGACTTTGCCATAGGGGTGATGAATTTATCACATACTTTATCACAGAGGTGTGAATTAATTCTATATATTGTAATTTACTGTTACATGAAGGAATAGTATATTCAATACTGAGGTGGTCTGTTGCAGTTGCTGATCACCAGAATCTCTTAACAGTGTTTGGCACAGAATTTTCTGCTTTCATTGGGCTGGGGCACAGATTAAAGGAAGCTGCAGCAGCGTTTCATCCTTTCTTTCCTTTTCTCCCTGCTATTTGGGATATCCATGGACAAGCATCTGTGAAGAGTCAGTACCAACTGAGTCTTTATGCTTCTTACTGCCAGTGTTGATACAGCAATGAAATCTCAGATCCTCTTCCTGATGTAATCTGTGAAGATGCTGAGCAGTAGTAGGGGATACTAGCTGCAGAGAGCACTTCTGGCTTATATCTGAACTTCTAAGGCTGAAGGCAAAATCTTGCCTCACTGATGTATTTTTCAAACTCTTTTAATTAAGAGTCACAGGGTGAGGTTCTCTTTTTTCCAGAAAAATCCCTTGAGGTCACACGTTGCTCGGGGCCACAGGTATGGCACCACTTAACCCAGCATCCTTTTTGGAAGTAGGCAGTGAGCAGGGGACAGCCCTGTTCTCATCAGCAGAGGGCTGGGCCCCTCAGATGCTGTAGTTTTGGTATAGCATTCACCAAATAGGATATTTCAGAGGACCAAAATGTTGTAAATGAATGCAGAAAAAGTTGCAGGCTTCTTACTCTGGGGTCAGGGGAATTCAGGAGAGGATTTTTAATAGTGACATTTGTAATCTTTCTTCTACAACTCTCGTACCAGCCCCTGGTCTTTCTGCTTAGGGCAGACAAAGGAACATATACAGGGATTTTACAAAAGATGCAGACTCTGGTATAAAAAAAAAAATAAGTCTTAGCAGATACTGCAGACCCTGATGTGGAGTGTTGGGATTTTTAACTTTCAGTGTTAATTTTTACCCCCAAATAAACAATTTTCAGTGGAAAAAAAGAAAAAAATAATCTTTGCCAAGGATCAAATTGTAATGTGCTGCACCTTGTACCAGTGCAGCCAAAATGTCTCTGTTTGCCCAAACATAGAAGCAGATTATCATTCCCAACTCTAAAATTCACCCATAGCATTAACATGGCTACTGGTCATCATGACCAGAGAGAAATGTATCTTTCTTTGGAGAACTATGATCAAGGGATACAGGAAGATTATGTAGTAAAATGTTTTATAACCCTGTCTGCAGTCTGCTCCTCTGTCATGATGGTCTGAATGGTGGGGAAAATACAGCCACTTCAGTAGAATTCAGCGTGATGTTACCCCATCTGTAGTTCAGTGTATTCATGCATGTTGAAATGTATTGCCCAAACTGCATCTTGGGACCATAGAAAAAGAAAGAATAAAGGAGAGAAATAATCTATATTAATACATTTGATTATCAACTAGAGGAAAGAAAAAACAGTTATGGAAAATAATTGCTTGGTTTTATGTTTGTCTCAAATGTGAAATACTAGGTATAAGATTCATGTTATTAATTTTATTTGAAATATAAAGTGCAGTGATGTGTACCTTAAAACTTAGGTAGGTTTTTTGGTATCACTGAATGATCTGCCCTAAGTTTGTCGTTCTTAATCCATTAAAAGACAGGCCTGCTTGTAAATCCACAGGTACAGATAAGGAGTCACTGTTTGACTGTGTCTGAACCCTTTTCAAATGAAAAATGTCAGTGGCAGAAAGGGAGGCTGAATTATTTTTTAAAAGGGTTTTCAAAGATTCTCATGATTCCTCTGGTATCAGTTAAATGTGACATGTCCATAGACATGGCTGGTTTTTAGTGCGTAAAAGCAAGCAAATGCTACAGTTTTCATCTCTATGTAGAGAAGATGCTGCAGTATGTCTAAGTGATCAACATGTTACCTTGCAATACCAGAAAGATTTCTGTCTTCCATAATTAACATATAAAGAGATTTTTTTACAGTTAATACAACTTGCAACAATGTGACTGTGAGAAGGAAAAAAGCTTGCCTTTCCCCCCCCTTCTCCCCCTGTTTGGGGGCACATATATTATATGTTTAAATCAGACACAATTAATCCATAAGCTTTTCTGTTTATACACTGCCTTTTAAAATGTCATAGCACTGTCATGAAGAGGACTCACCCGCATACACAGAAGCTTTTGTAACGTGATACAGCTCTATTTCCTAGATTTGTTCCAGTTTGCAGGAAGGATCTGATGCACAATTTTACGTAGAGTAGTTTTGTAATCTGCAACACTCAGAGGTGAAATTTAGATTTCTGTGCTTGAAAATGGAACCTGGAGCCAAGTCTTCTCTTTGGAAAACAGTTGAGATTAACCCCTGCAGACAAGGAAGAACTTTGCAGCCTGGCTGCAACATAAATCCAGGCATCTATGGGAATGGTTAGTTCGCGGAAGTCTGTGAGGGCTGCCTGTAAGCCAGGAGTTACTCACTTCCTCTGGCCCAAGGTTCATTTCACATCAGCTGCCAGTTCTAAATCTGGGGTGAGGTGACTTTTTGCACAGTGGGACTTTACCCTGTTTGTGGAAAAGCACCATCCTGATTTGGGGTAGAGTTGTTGACAAGGGACATGCTCATGCAAAAGCCAGGAATTACTGTTGCAACTGGTTGGTATGGAAAGGGAGAAAGGGGCTTTACCAGGCAGGGAAAACAGGTCAGGAGAAATCATGGCTACAGCATTTTATCCCTCTTAAAGTCTGAGACCAGAATTTCTTTGCATTGTTTTAGAAAAAAATGTTAGAAATTATATGTATAAACATAGCTGTTGCTCCATTTTTCACTGGAACATTTGTTCATAGAAAAATAGGGCTGTTGAAGAGATGGTTTTCAAAGAAGGAGGCTGTCCAGACTCTATTTTAATCCTGAAATGAAATGAAAAAAATGTTGGGGAGAAAGGTGGTGATGGAATCTTATTTTTCCTTCCACAGTAATGATCAATTGTATATTTTTTCTCTTTTCACTGGAAAAAAAACAGAAAAGTTAAATGAGTGAAAGTAATAATTTTACTTTTAGGTGAAGTCTTTACTTGAAAAATAAAATTTGCTTGTAAAAAAAAATCACAAATTAGTACACACTAAAAAAAATAAAAAAATCACTATACCACCTTTCCACTGCTTTTACAGATTTTGTGTTAAAACCTAAAGGTAAGAATGTAAACTATTTTGGGTCTAATTCTGAAATGTTGCTGGCTGTAAAACTTCACACAGTTCAAAATCTGTTTTATAATTGTAGGAAATGTTTTTAGTAGTTTCTTTAAAATTAGAAGAGTTGTGGATTTGTATCACTGCGCGATATTTCTCTGAAAATTTTTAGTAGCTGAATGCTTCAGAATTTGGTCTTGTGCAGCAAAATGCCTCAAGGAGGTTAATGCACCAGGTGTGGCTGCTAGTGCACTCTTTCCTTTCAGCTGTCATCCCCCCCCCCATCATCATTTTTTCAGAACTTTTGTGAATCTGCTATTATGAATAAAAATGCCTTCAAACTCTAATGCGTGTGAAAAGATGCAAGAAAGGAATGGGACTTTCTAAACCAAATTTGAATATAATTGAAGAAGGTTTATTTTTCTTTTCCAGGATGACAAGATCAGTTGTTTTTCAGACAAGCATAATTAATTCTCATTATATGGGTCCTCAGAACATTCTGTGTATAAAGCTAACACAAAGGCAGAGGTGGTTGTTGTCAAGGCACAAGTGAAAGTACTCTCAACACTGCTTGTTTTCTTTGTTTGCAGGAGAGTTGGAGGTGGTCCAGAAAGATGGGGAGCGCAAGATTCAGAGCCGGCAGCAGCTTCCGGTTGGAACAACATGGGGGCCTTTTGCTGGGAAGATGGATCTGAATAATAACACCTTGGTATGTAGATGCTCCGAGGCGCTTCGCTTCATTATATTGTGTGTTGCTCTTTAGGGAATAGCCTGAATTACTGCTCAGCCAGAGCATTTGAAAACAGGCATTGTTAGCTTTAATGGACAGTGGTACTTGGCTGTTTTCCAATTAGTTCATCTATGGCAACCATCCACATAAAGTTATTTGGAGCACAGGTTAATAGTGTTTAACTTGTTATTTTACAGAAGGGAAATGTCACTTCCTTGCTTGGTGAACCAGGCTGTTTCATTTCAGTACTAAGAGCTGATTTTTAGTGGCTTTTTAAATTTTTCACAGCATTACTTGCTGACTAATTTATTTATACTAATGGATTGTATAGAAAACAAATAGCTGCATTATTTTAGGATAAAATTCATTAAATTTGCCATAATGTTAAAGATCTTCCATCAGATTAAAAGTATTTTGAAAGGCAAGAAAAGTCACCTGTCATATAATATAGTCTCAATTATCCTTGGTTTTTATTCTGATTGCAGAAAGTATGTGTACCATATTCAAGATATTGCATTGCTAGTTTCAGTGCAGTGCACTGAAAATCATGTCATTCCTCAGTCTTCATTTCATTTTTGTTTGTATTGAAGTCTGAGCTTCAATATTATTTGCGTGTAGTTCAGACTAATTTTCTGAGAGTAGCTGAAAGGTGACTCTGTATTGGATAAAAAAAAAAAGAAAGGCAATAAATATATGTAGAAGAAGGGTTTAGACAATCTTGGAACATGCATTGCCCTGTAGGATACTTCTGAAGAACCATTATCTTCAGCTGGATCACTGTTTGCTGTTGCAGGCTGTGCAGGAATGTATTAGCATAAAGACCTGTGGAACTGTTTCATAGAAGCATGTCATCACATACATTTGGGGTGCATATATCTGTGCTGTAAATGGAGAAGCTGAAGTTCCCAGTGTTGGGGGTATTGTGTTGCCCTCAGAGGACCTGAAGAAAGTGAGAAATGCTGAATTGCTGAACTACCATCTGGGACAGTGTGAGAGAGGGGTTATGTGGACATAGGAGGAAATGGGGGAAATTGATAGTCTTTAACTCCTTCCTGGAGAAGCTATGCCTGTATAATGAAGTTCACTTTCTAAGGGCTTGCTGGATAGTATGCATGTTACTTTCTGTAAATATGCATGTTATAATTGTAGTGAAGCATTATTACGTTACAAGTACATAGTAGCCACTTAAGATTTTGATATTTTGTAGACTGTTTAGCGTAATATATTAATAAAAAGGTGCTAACAAGACTTTACAAAAAGTGGCATGGAAACTGTCCTAAATTTCCTAGAGGTCAGTATTCCCAACCCAGGTTAGATTTCTCATGCAGGCACCTGAATAAAGGATGGATTTTCAAAAGTACTCAAAGCATCTTATTGTTAGAAAGGGGAAAATGGGCAATTTTACTGTCTCTTTCCAGTTTCTTCATCCATTTCATTTTTGTTTCTTCATCTACTTTATTCTTTTAGTAGAATTCTCAAAATGTTTTGGTTGGTTTTTTTTTCAGAAAGCATCATTTGTAACAACTACCTATAATTCAAATAATTTTCTAAGATTCCTCTGTGACTACTTTCATCAAATTTCATGCAATAGAAACCTTACTCCTGGTGTAGCTTAAAGTCAGTCCATGTAATACCTTAGGAAAAATGCTACCTTTGTTTTTTCGCTATTGCTCTGTCCACTTGTACCACTTCCTCAGGTATGTAAGACTTGAAGATAGTAAGTTTGAGTATGGGAGATTATGATGATTGACCTTTCATTACAAAAATTCATCATCAGATATTTGTAGGAATTTGCAACGTGTCAGCAGTTGATTGTATTGTTTAATTTTTGTTTTCTGAAGGGCATATGGAGAAACTACAATCCCTCTAGAAGGAGCTTGTTTCTCCTGTGGTAGCACAGGCATATATTAAGATGTTATTACATTGTAAATTTGGGCAAATACCACTTTTGTTGTAACAAAAACATTTAGACACTTTGGTTTTAATAAACTTGTAAACAAGCAGTGAGCAGAGCTGCCTTTTTAGTCTCACAATTGTAATAGGATGGAAGAACTTTCTCAACCTACTTCAGAGAGATGGAGGATGAAAACATTCATGACTTTTTTTCTCCCCAAACAGGTAAAAAAGTAGTTTTGTTTCTTGTCAAATTAAAAACCATAAACTCTATTCTTGCTAACATCTGAAAGATTTTACTTTTGTTTTGCCTGCTAGTGTAAATACATCTGAAAATGTTCTTGTAAACAGAATTGTAGTTGCCAGCAACATTGTTTTGTCCTCTGAGCTACTCCATCCTTTGAGACAGTCAAAGCTGAACTGCCTATGATCTTGAGCAATCTGAGTTAACTTCGAAGCTGGACCTGACTTTGAAGTTTTCCCTACTTTGAGCAGGAGTTTGGACTGGATGACATCCAGAGGTCCCTTGCAACCTGAATTATTCTATGATCATAAGTATTGTTTCTTTTTTCCCAAATATCAGATGTTTCCTGTAATCCTACATTTGTTACTTTAAAATGCTTTGTGAAGAAATATAAACCTGATAGAGCTTCAGTTTATTTTTCAAGCAACACAAACCCAGTGCCAGCTTCTACATATATTTTTTTTTCTTGAACTGATTCTGGTTTATATATTATTTTTCAGTTTGCTTGACACATTTGATTAGTTTTCTCACTAGCATACGTGCTTTCTATTGTTCATAAGAGGAGTTATGTTTGTTTACTTAAGTTATTTGTATCTGATTTGGAAAGCTCATTTGAATAAAGCCTCACCTCCCTAGAATTCAATGAAACACATCAGTGTTCACCTCAGTGGCTGACAGCATGTTTAGTTAATTTCTGAACAAGAGCCTCAAGCATTGCACTGTTACAGAGGTCAAATAATTTTTTTTGGAGAAGCACTTTAACATGAATTTTTGGTATAGAGAGGAAAGGAAAGAAAAATTCAGGGAACTTCAGGTGAGTAAATGCCACAATTTTTGCAGCTGGTCTCTTTATGTTTGTGGCTGACTACAAGTATCTTACCTGACTTACTGTTTAGTGTTAGCAATGGGACATTGCCACACAGGACTTACTATCCAGCTATAACAGTTACAGCTTACTTACTACCTTTTTACTCTGCACTGTATAAGCCTGTACGTGTAATATCCTGTTGAAGTGCCTCTTTTTTTCAAGCAGTGTTGTGTTGCTGACTACAATCTCACTGCTGTTGGCTCAGGAGACGGTGCAAGCTAATTAATTCAGCACGATAATTAATTGAGTCACTGTGCCAGATGTCAAATACTTTTTAGATCTTTCAAGTTTCTGTCTTGAAGTACATTAAGAATATACATCTCAGAGTAGTGGAAGGTTGGGCACCTTGAACAAAAATGATTCAAGTGCTGTTGGCAATTGCAATAGAAATAGTGGCTGTTAACTTCATCAGCCGTGCTGCAGCACTGTCAGGAGATGTGGTAGACCAAGGTTCGTATCAGGATTGCAGAATAGTGAAACTCTAATGGTAGACTTGGAATAGATCAATGACTAATAAAGATCTTAATTTTTTCCATCTAGGAGTTAGCCAAACCTCATGAATTACAGAGTGATCAAAACCCCTTATGAAACAATGCCCTTCATCTCATTACTGTTACTTTTGATGAAACAATCTGCATGCAGCCACCAGAAATTTTAAGAACATTGTTTTTAACAAGAAGTCGGTCATGGATCTGAAGAGTTGTCTAGGCATTCAATTGCTATTTCAATGTGAACTTAAGAACTCCTTACATAATTATTAAATATTTGTAGTTATCTATCTAGATACCTTTATTATATCTGGAGTGGTAGATCTCCTACTTACTTTTAACGATCTCTTCCAGTAATTTTGCCAAGCTGGCAAAATTCTCCTGTGCTCAGCTGCGTGTAGAGTTTGTATCCATGTGCACAACTGTGCTTAGAGCTTACTGCCTTTCGTTTCCTTCCATTTCTTCCACTCAGCTGTTCCATAATAGTTGATAGTCTCAAGAAAATTAAAAGTTTTTTTCAAGCCTCAGAGGTGTGCTTCTAAAATAGGAGCTTGTTCTCATGTTTTGCAGTAAAAAGAGATCACCTGTGTGTTTCCAGATCTCTCTGAGATTTAATATAATCTTGCAGTTCTGACAAACAGCCGTATGAAGAGTTTTGCACAATACTGCTTTCTATCTACAGTTGGTGAGAACTCGGCTCTACAAGGAAGGCAACACAATTTAATCACTAGTTTTACCAGTAATCACAGAAATTCAGTACTTTATAGGTACCTACAGGTAGACAAGGATCTATTTCTAAACATGAAGCTCCTAGCTTGTGATGCCTATCTCTAACAGGAAAGTGGATTTGTGCAAATGTCAAATCTAATGTGAACAGGCAGGTGAGAAGAGCAGAAGACCCTTCTAGGCTGGTCATGCAAACCACTGAAAAAGTATCTGCCCTGTGTAAGCAGCTGTAAATTTGAGGCACTGTCAGTCTATGCAACTTAAAGCTATTTTCTTGCCTTTTCCTGGCTGTAAATATTTTCCCTGTTTGAGGGGAAAACTTGGTGGGAATGAGGCCCTTGGAGACAAAAGCAGCACAGAACCGTGTAGCCCACAATGGATGTCGAGCAGTGACTCATTTCATCGCTCCGGTCGTCATGTGCAGGCATTCTGAAAGGCCTTTTCACTTCGCTGCCACCATCTAGTTTTGGTGTTAATCTGTGCCCATGGCAGGGTTTGTGAAGGAAAACAATAAGCAGCTGGATCCTGCCCCCTGTTCTCGCTGTCTTGTTGCAGGGAGGAATGCATGGGGCAGGTCTGCATCAGCCTGATAAGGGAAAGAGGATTCAGTGTGGCTGTGAAGGGAATCTGCAGGAGGAAAGTGTGCAGGGTTGGGCCGGCAAGCAGTGGGATACAGCAGAGACTCTTTAATGGGATCTGAGAGGTTCAGCGCCGAAGTGACTCTTGTGGAAGATACATAGGCATGAAACTGGCTGGGTAG